AAGGGACACAATAAGGAAGAATGTTTTAAATTGATCGAATGTGCATATTGTGGAAGAAAGGGGCACAAAAAGGACCAATGTTACAAGTTATATCCTGAAAAGAATCCAAGAAATTCAGCAGGTTCTGGAAAATATACAAGGAAGAGTACCTCAGGAAACAATAACTTCAGGAAAGCTGATAATGTGAATGTTCTTGACTATTCTGAAGAAGATATTCCAATGGAGGAATTTCCTATATCAGGAAACAGAAATAATTCAGAAATTGCTATTAATCAATCTTCTATGAATGGAATTGTTAACACAGTTGTTCAACAAGTAATGAAAATAATCTCAGAACAAAATGGAGCAAGCTGCTCAAATGCTGCAGTCAGCTTTGCAGGAAACCCTTCAACAATTCATGCTTTAACAGTTGATACTATTATGCACCAAGAATGGATAATTGATACAAGAGCTTCTGATCACATAACTTCTAAGATTGACTGGTTGTATGACATCAAACAACTAAAAAAAACTGTTATGGTAGGGTTACCTGATGGATCTATTAAACTTGTTCATAAAGTTGGAAAGTTGAAGTTAACTTCAGATATCATCCTTGAAAATGTTCTGGTTGTTCCTGATTTTCATCAAAATTTACTATTTGTTGGTCGTTTAATTGAAAACACTAACATGATTATGATTTTCTTTCCAAATGAGTGCATCATTCAGGACCATTCAAGTGAGATTATTCTTGGAAGCGGTCAGAGAAGAGGAGATCTTTACAAGTTTTATCAAGTTCATGCTGATAGTCATCCTAGTCCTAATACACATATTATGTGTAATACTTCTACTAGTAATAAACAATTTGCATTGAATAAGTGTAAGCATGTTGATATCTCTTTGATCCGTGCTAGACTAGGCCATACTTCTATTGAGAAGTTGAAACACATATATGATAGCAGTGTACATGGAATAAAAGAATATTTCTGTGAATCATGTGTCGTAGCTAAACATCATATTTTACCATTTCCTAGAAGTGATTCCTATGCTAAAACCTGTTTTGATTTACTGCACATGGATGTTTGGGGACCATATAAAACCCCCACTATGACTGGAGCTAGGTCTTTTCTAACTATTGTTGATGATCATTCAAGAACCACCTGGACGTTTTTTATACAAAACAAGCAACAAGTTCCAGGATTAATCAAGAATTTCTTGAACTATATTCAAACACAATTTCAAGCTCAAGTTAAAATTGTTAGAACAGACAATGATACAGAATGTATACAAGACTTCTGTGATACAACATTTAAAGAAAAAGGGATAGTTCATCACAGAAGTGTACCCGGAAGACCCCAGCAGAATGGCAGAATAGAAAGGAAACATAGACACTTAATAGAGATAGCAAGAGCATTGAGAATACATGCTAATCTTCTTATCAAGTTCTGGGGGGAGTGTCTGTTAACTGCCACATATCTCATAAACAAGATGCCATCTTCCATTTTACAATGGAAAACACCATATGAGTTACTCTTCAAAGAACCACTAGATTATGAAGAATTAAAGGTCTTTGGCTCATTATGCTTTGTTTCCTTACCCAATACAGTCAAGGACAAATTTGGTTTAAAGGCAAGAAGATGTATATTCATTGGTTATCCTTTTGGATAAAAGGGATATAAATTATATGACCTGAACAACCATACTGTTTTTATCAGTAGAGATGTCAAGTTTCAAGAAGACAAATTTTCATTCAAAACTGACACTCAAGCTACTCAGAATACAACAGAGGATTCTATCTTCAATACTTTTAACCCTATCATTCCAGAATATAGGGGTAATGAAGATAGGAGTAATTCAATTCCTGAAGATAGGAGGAATTCAATTCCTCTAATTCAGTCATCATCTCAAGAGCATATCTCAAATGTTCCACCTATTGTCATGACTACTGAGATTGATCAATCTGTTCATTTACATGAACAAGAAAATGAATCCAACTCTAATCCTCGAGATCTCCCAGTGAGAAGATCTACTAGAGCAAAACAGATGTCAACAAAACTCCAAGGATTTCATTGTCCTAATAAACTTCCTGTTCAGAACAACAGAAATATTTCAACATCTTTTCATGCTCACATGTTAGACAAGTTTACTTTTGATCCAGAATACATAGCTACTTTATGCAATGTAATAAGTGAACATGAACCAAATAGTTACCAACAAGCTGTTAAGGATGACAGATGGGTTGCAGCAATGAACAAGGAGATTGAGGCACTAGAGTCTAATCAAACATGGGAAATGACTCAATTACCCCCAGGAAAAAGGGCAATAGGATAAAGATGGGTATACAAAATCAAGCATAAAGCAGATGGAAGTGTTGAAAGATTTAAAGCAAGACTTGTTGCTAAGGGGTATAATCAAGTGAAGGATAAAGATTATAAACATACTTTCTCCCCTGTAGCAAAACTTACTACTGTAAGAACAGTTTTTGCTTTAGCTGCTATCAAGGAATGGCCTCTACACCAACTTGATATTAACAATGCTTTTCTGCATGGTTATATTGATGAAGAAGTCTTTATGATACCACCAGATCAAGGGTATTACAAAGACAAAGGAGATCAAGTTTGCAGACTAAAGAGATCTTTATATGGGTTGAAACAAGCTTCAAGACAATGGAATATTCAATTGACCAACTATCACAGGATCTCATACTATTGCCCTGGTATATGTTGATGATGTGCTACTTACTGGGAATGATCAAACAAAAATTCAATTTGTGAAGAAAGGACTTGATAAGAAATTTACTGTCAAAGATCTGGGATTAATGAGATACTTCCTAGGGATAGAAGTAACAGGAAATGAGACAGGAATATTACTCAATCAAAGGAAGTATATCATTGACATTCTCAGAGATCTAAACATGGAAAATTGCAAAGATACTCATTTCCCATTACCAAAGGGATTGAAATTATCTGTTGATCAAGGAGATTTGCTACCCAATCCAGATTACTACAGAAGAATAATTGGAAGACTGTTGTATCGCATCCTAACAAGAGCTGACATATCATATTCAGTCCAACATTTAAGCGAATTCTTGAGTCAACCAAGAATACCACATTTACAGGCAGCAATGCATGTGGTTAGATATTTGAAAACAACTATAAATGTTGGTCTATTTTATTCTGCTAAATCAGATCTTTACCTGAAGGCTTATAGTGATGCTGATTGGGGACAATGTGCTTTCAATTGCAAATCATTGGGTGGATATTGTGTTTTCCTTGGTGATTCATTAGTATCCTGGAAAACTAAAAAACAAAAAACTGTTAGCAAGAGTACAGCAGAAGCAGAGTATAGAAGCATGTCTTATACTGCAAGTGAAATGGTATGGATAGAAAGATTACTCACAGACCTGCAAATTCAAGTTCCACTACCCATCAATCTTTTTTGTGATAATAAAGCTGCAGAACACATTGCTCAGAACCCAGTTTTCCATGAGAGAACTAAACATTTAAATGTAGATTGTCATTATGTTAGAGAGAAACAGCAAGAAGGATTTCTTTTAACACAACATGTGAAATCAAGTTTGCAGTTAGCTGACATTATGACAAAACCTCTTGGTGCTGAGCAACACAAATTTCTATCCGTCAAGCTTGGAATGAAGTTCTTTCCATCCATTCCAGCTTGAGGGGGAATGTGGAACTAATTAAGCTGCACTCATACTGAAGAGCTGATGTGGCACTCTGTTAGATAATCAGTTGTATACAGTTAGATAGTTGACTTAATTTGTAAATATATATATTAAGTCTGAACACTTGTAATGATACGCTTGTTGAACTGTCTTTCTATCGATTCTCTATTTTCATCTTTCTGGAATATCTTCCTTCTTGTTCTTCAATCTCCATTGTTGCTAAGCTGTAATATGCCCTTCAATGGAGATTAGTTATTTTCATAAGCTCCATGCAGCATTTTTAGCACAATTTGTTAAATTAATGATCTAAATTTGAAAAACACATTAAAAATATAAGAAAGTGATTGTATGAATGTAATAAAAGTCGAAACATGTTCCCAAAAGTATACCTGTCAGCTCAAGGAAAAGGTGGAGCAAGAGAGTAACTCTGTTTTTAAAGCATTTCAAATTTCTCTTTCTAGCTTCACAGAATAAATCGCTAATAACTTTAAACTGCATTTCAGGAAATTTTTAAAAATAACCGAATTGTATTTTCTTTCAAATACTTTTTAAAAAAAATGAAAAAAATTGAAAGCTATTTGATTGTTATTGTTAACACACATTATAAAGCAGCTATCTTTTCCACGTTTTAGAACACACACAGACCTCCTGAAAGTGAGTAATTGTCACAAGTCATTAGTGCACACCCTTCTGACATGGAAAGGAGAGCACATTTGGATTTTCCAAATGTATCTTCTTTGGATATAAGTGCAGAATTATCTTCTGTTTGCTTTTGATTCTGTGTTGCTCCCATTTGAGTGTGATGCTTCCTTGACACTTATTGCATATGCCTTATTGCTTTTTACAAGATAACATCTGCACTTGTAGGAAGCTTTTAGAAAGGTGTGAAACCTATTTTGAATAGTTAGGTTTCTAACCTATTTCCTAGAATAAAAGCATATTAATTCATGTAAGCATATGTGGTTATTAGTACATCATACTTCTTTTTCCGTTTGATCGATGTTTATTTTTCTCATTAGGTTTTTTATTGGCAAAGTTTTCAGCAAGTTAATAATTTCTACACTTATCACCTTATACTTGGCACATAGGGGGAGGATTAAAGGAAATATATTCCTTTATTTGTGTGCTTTCGATATGGTAAATAATGTAAAAAGTATTGGAATGCACAGACATTTCAAATATCCTTGATTAATGTATTTATTAAGTATAGGTGTAGATGTGAGGGGGAGTCGTCCCGACACATACACAACGTTACACTGTTTTCCTTTAACCAAGTTTTATTTTCTCGTTGGGTTTTGTTACTTGGTAAGTTTTTTAATGAGGTAACAATACATATAAATATTATTGATCAAAGCAAGGATAAAATAAAGATAGACTTAATAGAAGAAGTCTATCGTGATGCTCTACTTTTTTTCTCCGGTCAAGGTTGTTTTTCCCCACAAGGTTTTGTTATTTATACTTTTTTTCTCCAGTCAAGGTTGTTTTTCCCCACAAGGTTTTGTTATTTGACAATGTTTTGAAGAGGCAACAAGTCTGATACCAAATTCTATCTGTAACTAAACACAATGGGATGTGTTTAGGGAAATTCTATGTAGTGTGTTATCCAGTATATAGAATATGTATTAGAGTCATCTTGTGTATACTCAGTATTATGGGCATGTTAGCTCATCCTTGTAAAGCCTACTCTCTCCCTATTTATAGAGCATTTGGTACTCAAATCGCACACACAATTCTCCCTACAACATATATACATAAAATTTTCCTTTCTCATCAAGATGATTGAGGCCATCATTTAATTTTATGGTAGCATACTTGAACAATTTGAGCATTTCCTAAATAAAGAGAATAATCCACCAGACTATTATGAATGCCACATAGTAATTGCTTTCATTGATATTCTTAGAATTAAGGTAGCATTTGAGTTTTCACGCTATTTTATTGTTCAAATTGGACTTTGCACCCCGTTCTTAAAAATTTTGTTTTTGCACCTCAACCCCGAATGAAAAGATAAAAATGACCCTCCATTAACAACATTGTTGGCCTTCAACACTCCTATCTAACTGTCCGGTCGGTGTTGGGGGGTCCTCAGGGATGGGGTGTCATCCTTTTTTGTTGGCCTTCAACATATTCCTGATCGAGTGGCATTTTTGTCTTTTCATACGGGATAGGGGTGCACATACAAAGTTTTTAAAAAACGAAGTGTAAAATCTAATTTGAATACTAAAATGGGATGCAAACTCAAATTTTCCCTAGAATTAATGGTTTGTGAACTTGGTGTCATTGTGGGCTTGGGGCACAAGAGAGAGCCATGGTTGATGAATTTGAAATGTTAATGGCTCCCGTAGCGAAAATGCAGGTGAGGTGAAGTCACAAATTTGGTTGCATAAAATATGAGTTTAATGCATAGAATCCCCCTGTGATATTAAAATGATGCGTATTATCCTCCTCTGTTATAAAAAATGCACGAAAGCCCCTTATGTTTTTATTAAATGTGCTTACCCGCCCCTATCAGAATAAAGGAATGACGCCCTTTACTTTTTTTCAAATATCCCGTTATATCCTTATTTCGTAGCCAACTTCAAACCCAGTTCTTACGCTAAATTAGGGCAGCCGTTCAATACTCCATTCAAAAATCGAAGGGGAAGAAGGTCGTCGCACCAATTTGAAGCCAGATGATCCAAAATACCTAACTTCCACTAACTTTCCTTCTTAAAACTTCTACGTACTGGATGGTGAAAAATTAGACTGCTGCTCGTCATTAATTTTGAGGTACGCTTTACCAATAACTTGTCCTTTTCATATTGTTTGATAATTGTAAATTTACTTTTTGTTTTGTAAAAGTTTATTGTTTATTAATGTAGTCTGATTTTTTTTGGGTTACTTAGTATAGTACGTATTAGTAGGGATTGTAATTGGGGCTTATTTAGAGTCAATAAAGACTAAGGATTACTTGTATTTGCTTTTTCTGAAAATAAAGTGAGAAAAAATAAAATTCAAGCTCTAATGGAAAGAACTTGTTAGTTTTTAACTGCATTTTATGTTCTAATTTGGGTTATTTTTCTTCTTCTGCACTGTGCATATATTGAGCAACTGCTATATCTAGTTTTGAACATTTATACATGGGTAAACATAAATTAAAAGTTCTGCATTTTTTAGTTTGAGCATGTGTTTCTTTGCACATTATATCGAACATACAAGGGTTAAAATTAATTGTTTGACCACATTGATGATTTGGACTTTGCTTATATATGTATTTGGCAGGACACATAAAAATGTCTTCTGAACTTTTGACAATTAATGTTAATTAACCTTATACTGAAGTAGAAGATGAATGGGGGAATTCTTCAACTGATGATTCAGACTCAGGGGTCTCTTCTTGCCCCTCCTGGGCATTGGAAGATATGGAAGGGGGCGATGATGATGACATCTTCTCTGCAAGGCCACCAGACCATTCACGAAAAGTATGGGAGTGTGTGAGAAACTGCGTGAAGGATAGGAAACAAAAAAGGAAAGAGGTAAGAGATGCTGAAAAAACAAGAAAAATCCTAGAAAAAGAAGAATGGTATAGTGATGGTGAAAAAGAAGAATTGAGGGAGGATCAGTTTGAATGGGGTGAAAGTGTTGATATGCAGAGCTATGAATTGGCTTCCGGACATAGGTTCCCTGATCGGAAAATTTTTCAGAAAGTGTTAAAAGATTGGTCTGTTAGGAAAGGGTATGATCTTAAGTATCCAAAGTGTGAAGCCAAGGTTATAACTGCTGTTTGTAAGGGTGGGTGTGAATGGAGGATGAGACAATCGGTGATTCAAAACAGCTCAACATTTCAAGTGAAAACTTTAATGGGAGAGCACAAGTGTTCTTTTAGAACAGATAATCATCAAGCGGACTATAAGTATCTTGGGGAGAGGATATTGGAAGCTGTTAGGGACAATCCTAATGGGACCTTGGATGCTTTGAAAAATAAAATTAAAAGTGAATGTGGGATAGAAGTAAGTATGCATAAGGTTTATAGGGCTACGATGCACGCCCTTTCTTTGTTAACAACTGACATCCGTTTGCAAATCAAAAGATTGTATGACTATTGTGCCACCGTGGAGAAATATAATCCAAGGAGTAGTATGGTGCTAAAGGTTGAGAGGTCTCTAACTACACCCAAATTGCATCTACCTGCATCCACTCATCCCATTTTTGTTTGAGCATACAGGATATTCTAGGAGCAACAATGCAGCCTGATACATCTAACTGCATCCACTCATCCCATAAAGCTAGCCAAAAAGCTTCAAGTACAAATAAATAGGTTTGCATGTGTGACCAGTTTAGTATGGTAGATTGGTAGTAACTAGTAATATGTTTAAGACAACAATTATTCATTCTCGAAAGGATGAATTTTTTGTTGTTGCTTTATATTTTGCTATTCTGAAAATTTTGACAATGCAAAACACTGGTACTTATTGTTGTTCTTTTGGTGAAGGGTAATATTCCTTCTTTGTCCTGCTAAGTTGTGTTTTTTCCAGCACCATGTTGTAATATTCCTCTTTAATTTTGCTATTTGAAAACGTGTGATACTCCAAATTGGCTATTTTTATTTTAATTTTTGCGTATTTTGGATCACTTCAATTTAATGTTTGGAAATTAAAATTGCATGCTTTTAAAAAAAGTTGATGACGCTATGTGACATCACTTTTTAAAATATACTTTTTAAAAAATAGATTGTAAAAGAAGTTAAAAATCTGGAAAACAAATACGGAGTAATTAAATATAGTATAATTAATGGTTCAAGTCTACACACAACACTTACAGAAATGAGATACGAAACAAAATTCAGAAAATCAGCTTGGGGCAATTATTAGGAAAGGAGGTGATGAATATGGGGTAAATTGGACATTTTGCTAGTTAAAAATGTAAAAAAGAACCAAAAAATGCATTAATCGCGCGTGTAGTACAATCACGTTAACTTCACCGTTTGTAGGGGTAATGTGCTTAGTTTATTAAAACACACAGGGGTTGGGTGCATTTTTTACAACAGAAGGGGGTAACACGCATAATTTTAATATCACATCACATCACATTTCACCAAAATTTGGTTTACGATTTTAAAAAAAAAAAACGTAGTACTATCGAATATTTTTTCAAAAATGTTGTTTGTACTCACTCTTATATTCACTTTTATACCCACCATGTTTGTGCAAAACTTTTTTTTGTCTATGAATCCCGCTCACAGACAAAATATGTGTGTACAAATTTTGCACAGACAAAATAAGACATATTTTATCTATGAACCGGATTCATAGAATACAAACAAAAATTATTTTTTACATTGCACCACATATACTAACACTTTTCTGAAAAAAACCATAAATATATAGTAAAGTTTTGAAATAATATTTTATACTATCAATATTAAATTGTGATATAAAAATAGTAAAAAGGGGAATTGGACATAATTTTTTTATTTATTAATTTCGAATTTTAAATTTAGAATTTATTTTTGGCGTTTTTTAAATTTTATTTTTATTTATTTAAAGTCAATAAGAGTAAATTTGCTCCTTTATAGAAACATGAGGCATTTTTCCTTTTTTGCACCTTTCAGAAATGTAGGAGTATGGATGTTTTTACTTAGACTGAATTTTTTTGGTCTGATTTGGTCTGATCTTGTCTGGTCTGATCTTGTCTGGGACTAAAAATAGTACAAGTAAAAACATCTTATATGTGCACATTCACATATACTTCAGGATGGATCCTTTCATACAACTAACCCTTAGTTGCATAAAAAGTGAAAATGATTTTTTTGTAACCACTCTCGATGTTACAAAATGGACTTCCCATTTCGGATTACGATGCTTGACAGACGATAAAGTAACTCGATCTCTGTTCATACTGAGATTACTTTTAGTAAATAAAATTTACATATTGAGAAACTACATTAAAACCGCTACAAAGGCTGATAAAAAAATATAAATTTGATAAAAAAATTAATATAGAAAATATAAGATTAAGAGTAATTTAAGTTGACCATGTGAATAGTGACTGTGAAGTTCATTTTGGGACGGAGGGAGTACTAAATAGGAATTCACCGGGAATTCACAATCACTTTTTCTTCTATCAAAAATTAACTCCATATGTGATACTGGTTTTTTCGTTCACGTTACTTAGTTTAATGCATCATACTCTCTTGTGATATAGAAATTTAACGCCCATATGATTTTAAAAATGTATCAAGCCTCTTGCGTTATACTACGTATTATGTACTATATAAAACTATATAAGTATAAGGAAAAATGAACATGAATAATCTCAACTATTAATAATCTGCTTTAACCAATCTCAAATATCAAATTACTAAAAATAACCTCAACTATTGAAAAAAGTTCTCAAAATACCCCTATTCAGTGACTTATAGTAACCCGTAATCTGTTTATAATATTTACGAGCCATTGGAACATTTTGTGAATTTTTTTCAATAGTTGGGATTATTTTGACATAATTGATATTGTGGATCATTTCAAGCAGATCATGAATAGATGAGATTATTATTGTCCATTTTGCTTAAGTATAATTCTAATAGTAATATATTCAATATGAATTTGTAGAATATATATTGAGAGTAGACAGATTGAGTAGAAGTAAAATAGAATTGTAGGAAAAAATGAAGAAATGATTAGATATTTATAGAATTTGTTTAGGCCCCCAATCGTTCAAGCATATCTCTTTGAAAAAGCATCCAAAGGACATGATTCAAGTCTCATATGAAAGCTAACTTCAAGTGCTACAAATCATATGAAGACACCATTGCGAGAATCTGAGATGAAAAAGGTGAAAACAGACGATGAAAGCCAACTCCCCGCGAAACCCCCCAATGGCTATATAGCCAGTTGGGACTAGGACTGATACTGTCTGATGCCCAAAATACATAAAATGTGTGTAAATTCATACATGAAAATTGTTGGGATATTAGGCAGAGGTTGAAGACCGGGACCAAATACCCCAAGAGGCCCAATTCGCATACAGGTCCAATCGCAGTCCAGTCAATTCAGGAACACCGCTTGGCTACCCCGCACGAGCAGCGCCGCTTGGTGGCATTGTGGGCTTGTGGCTCAAGACAGAGTCATGCTTTATAAATTTGAATTGTTAATGGCTCCAATAGCAAATACTCAAGTGATGTCACAAATTTGGCTGCAAAAAATATTTGTCTGGTGCTAGTCTTCACAGCTGGTCAAGTCATATTTCACCAAATTTGGGCTTAAATATTTTCACCAAAACAAGGCATATTTTTTCAATACATGTATTTCAAAAAGGAGTTGCTTCAAACCCATAATTTTGGAAATGTTGAAAGCATTGTTGTAAATATGGACACAGTTTTTGTTGATTATCTGGAAACGGCAAAATATGTTAGGGCAGCAGGAGAAACATAATACTTGGATTGGATGTGATGGAATTCGAGAGAATCAAACTCAGGCTATAGGTATTACCTTTCCAGAAAATCTAGAAGAAGTGTTCCAAGCTTTTCACAACTACGAATCTTGCTTTACTCTTCAAATCCTTTGATTTATCCAAAGTAAACCAAAATAGAAGCCGTTCAGATCCTAAATCGGTGAAAATTCAGAGATGGAAAGAAGGAAATAGTAAGAAGGAAAACAAGGATGTATCGGTTTGGGAGACAGAATTCCATGGCATCCAAAATTCAAATTAAAAATAATTAAGAAATGAAAGCAGAAGCTGAAGGGATGGAAGAAGTAAAACGGCTCCTATGTACTACCCACACCGGTGGCATTTTGGGTTTAAAAGGGGTTTTATCTTTGCTTGAAAATGTTAACTTCAATCTTCTAATTAATTTCGGTAATGGATAATTGAGGATTGTTATGTAAATTAATATTTATGGAGGGCAGTTTCACCTTTAATATATTAGCCCCTCATGATTTAAAAAATGCGCAAAAATCCCCTTCAAGAACAAATTTTACAATTTTGAAATCTCTTTTTTTAATAATATGATTGAATATGCAAGTAACTTTGTCAAAATTTCTAAATTATATAAAAAAATTAATCATTTTTCATCTTTTTTGAAATTAAATTTGTTCTTGGAAGGGGTTTGGCGCATGATTAATGATAACACAAGGGGGTTTGACGCATTTTTTAAATCACAGGGGGTTAATGCGTCGAATTTATATTTCACGAGGGGGTTTGGTGCATTAAACCCACCAGGTTGAGTAGCCGAAGTCGTCGAGTCATGAAGAATGAAAAACGTCTGCTAAAGCCCACGGGATAAGGCTTAGTGCCTAGACGGGTGGCTAATCAGTGACTACTCGAAGACACATAAATTATATTTTTATCAATATTTTTGCATAAATACGATAAGTAATACATAGTAAAACGGTAGTGTTGTGTTTTTGTGTGTACGAAAAATATACACACACATTAACATGCATGAATGATAGAAATGTCACATGCCATAATATATGATAACTAATCAATTAACTACGTTATGTTAAAAATATTGAATGAATAATAAAACTCAAGTAAATATACAAATATATATGGTTTTCATCTTAACTTACAAGTATCTTTCTTCATGTCTGTGAATCTGTGATTAAAGTTAAAAGTACATATATCTTTTACAAAAGAAAAATAGATATAAAAAATTAATTGTTTGTGGAATCTAGACGCCCTAAGTTGCGATTAAGCGCTCTAGACAAACAACTAGACATCCTAGACGACTGACTAATTTACTTAGGCGTCAAACCAATTAGTTGGGAGGCCTAGACAAACCGGAGTGTCTAGCCACCGCCGAGCACCTAGGTGGGGACTAGTCGAGTTGAGCGAATTTTAAAAGGATGGATTTTTCATGCAACGAGCCATGAAAAATAATTCCCCCCCCTGCATTCTTGTTTTATAGCCGCGTGATGATGTAGCTTTTTCATTTTTGTTTTAGTTTTCTTCTTTTCTCTTGCTTGCTCGAGCAGTCCAAGACTCGCCATAATTTCGGTGTTTTCGTTGTGTTCTTTTTCTCTGCGACTTCTACTCTTGTTTTTTAGATTAATTTATTATACATGAAGCAAAGTTAAGTCATGACATTTTTTTTTCTATCAGACATATAGTTTAAAGAGTTAATGACTCAAATAGGACTAATAGAAAAGTTAATTGCACATTTAGGACCACAAACGAAATACAACTTTCATAGGACCAAATTCAGTACAGTTGGACAAAAATACCCCTCTTTTAATTTTTTAAATTTAAAACTGTAAAATAAAAAAAAATTGAAATCCTAGAAGTAGCACTGCTGCCACCAGAGCCAAACCGCCTGCCGCCACCCCTCGCCGGCGCAACCTGCCGCCACCCTCTTCGATGA